TGAAGCTTTGGACTCGGAACGAAGGCAAAAACCAATAAGTAAGCAGGCTGGAAGGTCTGCTAAACGAATACCCCTACCCCTTTGTTTTCGTCCATCATTATTACAGCTATCTGCATTGAAAGGGGTCACAAAAACTGTTTTCTTTATTTAAATTGCAACCAAATCCCATGGTCAGGTGCTTATCTTTCCGATTTGGTTAATAATGTTTGATTAATATTTGGTGAATGATAACATCCATATTTATAATCTGTTACATTCGACTGTTAAGTTGATCTCTTCTATAGTTGGTTGGTACACGAGTAAGGAAAGATATCTGTGGATCCACATTTGTAATCCCATTCTCTATTGTCGAATATTGCAGTTCCCTTCCCATTTTTCCTGTTCCCATTTTTTCCCCGCCTACAGAATATATTCAATAAATCCTGGTTCCTGGTTCGTCTGATCTTACCGACAGAAACAGGTGACCGTCTCCTCAACGTCCATTGGCAGCGACAGCTGTGTGGCAGGGCCAGCGCCACCAGCTCCTCCAGCTGCGCCTGCACCGCCTGGCGGAGCATTGGAATTTGACTTGCCGCCGTTGCCGTTGGCATTCTGGCGCGGCACGGCGCGTCCGGGCACATGGCGCGACGAGGAGTGCAGGAATGTGGCGGCAAACGTGGAGGACAGCGAGGTGTGCGACGCGGATGCACGTGGAGTGGAGGCCGTGGGAGTTTGGGGGCCAGTGGAGGAACCGTCAGCAGCATCCGTCAGCGGCACCGAGGAGTAGCGCACGAGAATGGCCCGACTGACGCGGTTGCCGCCCGTCAGGTTCGAGATGGCCCAGTTCATGAGCGAGGGAACTGGGAACTGGCCGCGCTCAGGGCTCGACTGCAACTGAGTGCACGGCCGGGGCATGTGGCACACAGCTAGAGGGCACAAGCCAGCCAGCCAGCCAGCAGTCCGAAGGCACACAACGGACCGGGAGGGAAGCCTTTGCACAAGCTAAATATACACAATCCCCCGGACCGAGGATGGACTTTTGCTCTGCAAAATTGATTTGGTCTACTGATTTGCGCCTCCCCCTGGCGGTTTCTTTGGGCCGGGGGGTTCTTGGCCAGCGACTCGACTCGGACTCGGCCTCGGCCCCAGTCCCACGGGCCTGGGTCTGTCAATCAATGAAGCACAACAAAACAAATGGCCAACTGTCACTTTGTTTCTTTTGCTGCCTCTTCCGCTGGACCTCATACTACTCGTATTATTGTATTTATGCCCCTTCTGCCAGCGCGCTGCACTTGCACCCTTTTGCCGCCTAATTCAATTAGAGTTCTACTAAGTGCGCCTCAAGGCTGTCGGCTGTCGGGTGTCGGCTGCTGCTGCACATGCCAGCAGGCAGGGCGACGAGGGTAGCTAATGATGTACCTGTACGACTGACTGCAACGATCTGCACTGATATTCTCTTAAGATATATCCAAAACAGAAAAGAAAGAATAGCTTTGGATAATCATACAGGACAATGGATAAAGCGACTAGCACCTGTAGATGCTTCATACAATGAAGAAGTCCATCATTCACATATAAATTACTTCAAGAAGGGATAATCTATCAAATCTATACTTTAAATTGAATTTCTGTAGAATCAAAATTCAAGCCAAGACAAGATTAAACATGGTGCATAAGGATACATATATTTAATCACATATAATGGTAAAGTTAACTGAAGATAATACTATATATACCTACATATGTTTCCCCCAGCAAAATCAAGAGCTCTCCTCGCTGTCGCTAAGGCACAAAAATCGATGGCTTTTCCTTCTCTCTCGTTGCCACATTTTTAATTGTTTTTCCTGTGCTCTAATGAAAAACCCTGCTGCTCCATTGGCGGGGCGATGACGTCCACTCAGACCCCTTCCGGATGTACCACCCACCTCATCCATCGTACAACGTGTAGATATTTGTTTTTCCCTCTGCTGATGTGTGTGTTTTTTTTTTTTTGTTTTTTGGTATGTGGGGTGTGACATGTGACACAATTTGTTTGTTCTTTGTTACTCTCTCTCACATCGTTTGCTTTATTTCGCCCTCCTCAGTTTTCTTTGCCAATTTGGATGCTGTGACAGCATCCACAAAAGGGTCTCCCCTCCCCTCTACCCAGTGTATGCACATATGTATATATGTACTCGTACATATAGATGTAACTAACGGAAGAACCCACGTTATCAAGCTGTCAGTGGATTGTGTGGACTTAATTTGTCCGGCGGAACAGGAGGAAACTTCGTTACGGGCCGCCACTATCGAATGGGTTGGTTTCCAATCAACTCGATTTCCGCCATTTTCCGACACCCAAGCTGAAGCTCACTTTGTGTGTCTCTAATCACCAAATTGTGCTTAATTGGATGTTTTAGCACTCATTGCGCTATCTTTGTGCTGTTCCTTTACTAATCCGGGTTAAGGGGCTGTTTCATCCGTGTTAATTAATCTAATTGAGCTAGCTACAGAATAAGAGCATTTAACTATAATCAAAGTCCTTCAAATATTATGTATTCTTACGAATAACAGTCCCAAAGTGATGTCTGAATCGGCATCTGATGGCAATATCCTTTAAATCTGCATTAAATGTATTTAATTGCTGTCTATTTTATAAATTTAACAATATGCAGGGCCAGACATTTCCTTTGTTCTGCTGCCTGCATTCATTAGGAAGGAAAACCGTTCAACCCAAAAGTAGCCCCTGCGTTTCCTTGGAATAATCGTGTGTACCTAGAGATCTACCCAAGGAGGGTGGTTTCCACCAAAAGTGGGTTGGTAGTTTGCAGAGCTAATTCCTTCTTTATATTCGCAGGTATACCTACATACATAAATATCTAATTATTTCCACAGCAACCCTTTCGTAGAGTGTCCCTTTTAATTGTATTCTTGCATCCATTCCTGTTCTTAATATTGTAGATATCTGAGCTAAATTGAGCTTTGAGTGTGACTTTACGTAGATCGGTTTTATATACATAATTCTATACGCAAACATGGGGAGAGGCTTACATATGTATTTCTGGTAATTGTTAGGAGAGCTTATACATGTGTAAGTGAGAACCCTTCAGTGAATGGAATCCTACGAGTCTCAATGCAAAAATAAACCAAAGAACTGTGCAGAGCTTTGACTACAGGTACTTTTATATTTTAATTGATTAAAAACATACTTTCTATACTATCAATATGTATACTTCTGTCAACCGATTATTCGGCCATATTTTGCGAGTATGGCAATGAAATTAGCTAGTTCATTAAACCTGGCCCTTATCTATAGCCTCCGTCTGCAACGTCCTTCTCTCTGATTTCGTTTTCTCTGCGTGAGCGCATAAACAAGCAATAAGGCCAAAGTCGAGTGGGTCGACCGCCAAATACCCTCTAGATGCAATGAACTCTTTCAAATCTCATGAAATGAATATAGAATTAAATAACTTTAACTTAATGGGTGTACAGTGCACCTTTAGATTTGTAGAGCCCTAAATTCTGTTGCTCATAGAGATGAGCAGCTGCGTGTTCTAGTGCTGCCTGTTACATACATCCTACATGTACAAATATGCCCGTGTTTTCCATTGTATAAAAGGGTATGCTGCGGCGAAGCTGAAGACGAAGACGAACACAAATAAACGCAATCAAAGCGCAGCGATGGCCTTGCGCCTGGGACTCGGACACGGACACGGATGTGGTTGTGCTTGTGCTTGTGGATGTGTGCATGCAGACAGAGGAGCAGACTGATCACACACACACACACATACGCATAGGCACACAGAGTAAGTACGCCATCGATTACATTACTCGGTCACACAGTCCAGGCCACATTTGAGAAATCGATAATGCTTGTCCGAATTGATTTTGTTGTTGTCTGCAGTGGCGTTTGTCACTGCAGCTGCTACAGGGGCAGGAGCGAGACCCCTCTTGCAGGGGCAGTCGTAGCAGCCAGGCTGGCCTGGCCTGGCCTGACCCAAACCGAAATGAAACGAAAGGCAGCCGCCACAAAAGGCAGCGACGAAAAAAGAAATTTCTTGTGACGGCAGAGACGCAAAACGAGGCCAATTGGCGAGGGGCCAACTGGTGAGGCGACGCGACGCGACTCGACTCGAACAGAGGACACAAGAGACGGCCCACCGAGTGGTAGCGACATCGTCGTAACCGTAGCGCACCCCCGCCTGTGGATGCATGTCACCCCTCACCCACTGGCTGTGCTGCACCGATCCGGGGGCAGATTCGTCAGGTGGGGTGGTGCTGACGCCTCACTCTGTTATCAAATGTGGCCAAGCTATTACTACTAACTACTAACTACTCACCCCATCAACCAGTCGACCGTGTCGCGCAGATATTCCGGAATTCGCTCCAGCTTGACGGCTGCTGCTGCTACTGCTGCTCCTGACTATGCCACAAATTATGTAGTTTTCCCAGCTGGACACAGCACGCACACTCGCACACACACACACACACGCACGCACGCTCACCGGACACACACACCACCGCCACCAGATATATCGCCCGATCGGACCAATTGACAATTTTCCTTTCGTAAATCAATATAATATACGATTCCGTTTTGAAACTTTGCACATCAGAAATTTTCTCGCTTCTTCTTCGTTTCGTCTTGTTTGTGCACTTTGTTGAGCCCGATAGCAGATAGCTGGCAGGGGGGGGGCGATAGCAATCGATAGCAGCGGTCGCCTATTCGCGCAGGTATTCGATACGCGCTGCGCAGATTACCTGGCCACCTATCAGGTGAGGCTGCAAAAACAATTAATAAATACTTTCTAAATGTAATCGAACTTGCAGTTGCAGAGATAGCGGGTTCGGGCAGCACAACTGTTTCGCAACGGTTGAGCTGCAGCCCTGGTTGTAAAATACTAAAAGTATTTTTTTCTTTGAGCGCTATTTTCAAATTTATGCCATATTTGTTAATAAATACACCATTTTGCTTTTGCGAAAGTTGGCAATGTGCTTTTATAGGTTTTACAGATATTTCCTTTTGCAACTAATTAGCATAATGTGCTGCAGCCAGAACATGTAAATCGCGGACTTTGCCTATCGACTGTCCACTCTGCGACGCATGCGGTCACACTTTAGTCACAGCTGTTAAAATTACATAAAAATGGTAAAAATTACTTCATTTCAATCGAACAAAACAAATATCTACATATATAATGTCTTATTCCCACAAATCTACTGTAAAGGCGAGCTCCATCATTCTGGCGGGACTCGGAGTGGCAGCCGTTGGCTTTGCGGGGAAGCACATGCTGCGGCGCATGCCCCAGATGACCACCGCCTTCAACGAGGCCCTGAAGAATCTGCCCAAGTTTGATGCCGAGAGCATGGCTGCTTCGAAATACTACAAGGGCGGCTTTGATCCCAAGATGAACAAGCGAGAGGCGGCCCTCATTCTGGGCGTCAATCCAAGTGCCTCCAAGCTGAAGGTAATGCTGTCTCGTCTCCTTTATGGCAAGAAATGTCTCACTCACCCATCCCACCTGTCACTTGCAGATCAAGGATGCGCACAAGAAGATCATGCTGCTAAATCATCCGGATCGGGGCGGTTCCCCCTACCTGGCGGCCAAGATCAACGAGGCCAAAGACTTTATGGACAATACTAAATAGTTGCCGGGCAGGCCTGCCGCCACCGAGTGTAAATAAAATAGTTTGTGTTTAGCCTGTAAACAGCCGCCGTTTGTTTATTAATGGTTTATGCCATTCGTGATGCAGCCCACAGCATTGGTTTTATGCAAACTCGTCGAACAGGCAGCCCAGTCCGGGCCCGAGATATACGTGATTCTCAATGCACTTGCACCTGTAGTCCCAGCAGATGATGAACTGAGCGTAGCAGTAAAGTTCCTGCCCCAAAAGGCAAGCTTAAAAATACAAGAGGATCAAAATAAAGCTGTGCTAAATATACGAGCCTACGAGCTCACTTTTGCGCATCAACGGGTTGTGCAGGGCGTAGGCAAACTCTGCACTCAAACAGATTATGTACAGCATGGCCAAAACGTATAGAGCACACGACGACTGCATTGTCGGGGCGACCATTCCGAATTCCAGTTTGATTAATTTCCAAGTGCTTGCTTGGCCAGTCATTGGAGGCTGTGAGAGCTCGGAATAGAGCTGTTGAGTGCTACAGTAAATCCTTGGTAGCACGTCTTTGCCTTGGGCAGTCTTTGTGGCTGTCCCCTTGGGCTTCCTTGTGCCTTTCAGTTGCCTTTGCTCATCTGTCAGCCAACTGTTAGTCCCCACCCAGACCCACAATTTAAAGTTTTCTGAATCGAAAATGCTTTCATTTTCCCATCAGTCTTCCAGTGTTCCACATAAAAACCAGCTGGAGCAATAGTCACATGACTTTGCCACAGCCTATACAAATTTCAAAGCCAACAGCAACAAATTTAAAGTATACAAAATTATAATCGTAATGGAGAAGATGAATGCGTGGTGAGTGGGGAATATACAGACATCGTTGCGAGCCGATTCGAATTAATGGTAGGTTCGGTATTGCACCCCCCTGCAGGTTGCGGATTTCCATTGAGGACTTGGGCCTGTCCAATCGCCACACTGACTGCAGCTTCATTATCCAAACAGCCACCGAACGCAGGGTCTTCCTTTGCCACAAACTAATATTCTGCTGTGCCTCGGAGGCTTTCGATAGAATGCTCTATGGCGACTTCAAAGAGTCGACCACTGGCGAGGTAATGCTGAAGGACGTGGAGCCGGATATATTTGAGAAGTTCCGTGGCTATTTATACGGCTACCAATCGGAGAAACTGGAGGACTACGGCACCGACACCCTGATCAAGCTGTGCGTCTTTGGCAACAAGTTTCTGGTGGAGTCCATCAAGGAGGACTGTGTGAAGGAGATGACGAATCGGAGGTGCCGTCTGGGCATGAGCGATCTGATGCTGCTCTTTCAGTGCGCCCACACACTCAACATTAAGTCGATTACTAAACGCGTCGTCTCGAAAATCAGTCCCTTCCTCAAAGAGCCGTTCAACCAATCTGTGGTCTTCGATTTCGACAGGGAAGTGTTCAAGAGCTACATCGAAACTATCGACATGAAGCTGCTGGAGGCGGATCGTTTTATTCTAATTGAAACGTACCTCAAGCACAATGGCCTGGATACTCCGTCTGCAGCGGTCGCTGCACCGACTGCCATCGATGCCATAGAGGAGGAGATTCAGGAAAATAACAGGGAATACATTTCGCAGCTCTTGGGATTGATTAAATTCAGGAGATTCACGCCCAAGCAGTTCTACGAGGGACCTGGCAAAAGCAGCCTACTCACCACCCAGCAAAAGTACGAGCATCTATATACGATAGCCAATGAATGTGCCAGGGCCAAGGACGTGGTGAAGAGCACGAGCGTGGAGACTTTGGCCACGGCTAGTCTGATATCTGAGCTGACTAGTTTCCCCTACTACAGGGCCGCTCATTGTCATTGTCGTAGCACTCATTTCCCCTTTTCAGCCGATTTGTCGGAATGATCTTTCAAAGTTTTTGGATATAAAAATATATAATTTCGAATTTAACACAATTAAAGTGTTCCCCATCGAGCAGAGCAGCTTGGCGTTCCGCTTTCAGCCGATTCTGATTACATTAAAGTTGTTCTCCTGTTTTTGGTATCCTGATTGTCTCAGGCTTGAGAGCATTTGCTGGACATATTTAATTTTTCATCTACATAATCTAATAATTGAATTGAATGTAATCCCTAAGATAATCTATGTGGGCTCCTCTTCACGCAATATTGTTTTCCCCACCAGTGCCTTGAACTGCACCACCGAAAACAACTCCTGCTGATCCGCATGATCGGCCATCAGTTGCAGCCAGATGCGTTCGAACTCATCTTTGGACACGATGTCCTTGAAAATAGTCTCGAGCTGGTCTTTGGGTCGCAGGCGCTTAAAGTCGCTGGGCCCCAGGCCGGACAGGATAGCCAGATCGGGATATATTAGCTCCTGCACGTGAGTGTTCTCGGCGTCCTGCTGCTCGGGCGTCAGCTTGTGCTTTCGCTCCACGCGACCCTTGTTGGGCGTCTTCTTGAGATCGGCGCAGAGCAGGCGATAGGTGGTATCCTTGTTGTAGTTATTCTCGGGCATCGTCGAAATGTTACCAGTTGCTGGCAATGGCACCTGAATGGAGATGAGCCGGCAAAATTCCTCGTAGCTGATGCGCTCCGTGGCACAGCCCTCGTCGATGAGCATTCGAAAGTGCCCCACGGCGGTGCGCATCTTCTGGGCGTCCACGCGAATGTGAAGCTTGTGCATGATGTCGATGATCAGCGCCAGCGGCAGGTATCCCGTGCGCTCCTTGTCCGTCTTCTCCAGCAATGAGATCAGATCGAACATGTGAAAGTTGGGGCGCTTATGCAGCGACTGGCGCAAAATGTTCAAATGGGTGAAGGCATTCACCAGCTTTTCGTTGCTCGTATGGGGCGTGGTGTTCTCGAGCAGCATTTTGACATCACACTTGGCCGTTTCTCGCCGCAGGCCATGCATCATGTCTGGCACATCATACGGATATCTAAAGGGAGTCGTTTTTGGCTTAGCGTTTTGGGCTGGAGCTACTGCTACTGGATCTACACTCACTTTTTGTACTTCAAGCCCAATGGGCCGTAGGTGCGATCGATAAAGTTCATTTGCGGCTTGCGCACTATCACCACATGGTGATCGTCGCCGTCGTCCTGCTTCAGGCAGCGTTTCACCATCAGTCCGATGCCATCGAATGCGGTCTGTTGCCCAAAAGTGCTCAGGGGGTCAAAGGGCTTTTCATATCTAAAAAAAGGGAGATATGTTTGGGTATTGTACTGCATTGTATAATATTGATACCCACTTGCGATTGATCTTCTCCGAGGGGAAGTAGTGATTGTGGCTGATGATGCGTTGCTGGTGGAAGTCACCAAACTCCCGATTGACCTGCTCCGCTCGCTTCGGTGGCATTATAATGTCGTACAGGGGCTCCGGAATGCTGGATGACCGTCCAAAGATGCGACTCTCATTGGTCACACTGTCGGGCTTGGAGTGGGCCGGCGTGATTTCGCCCAACTTTGGCTTTCTGAAGTACATGTCCTCGGAGAACTTCTCCTTGAATGCCATGAAGCGTGACTTCTTCAGCTCCGTACTGAGCAGATCTCCGACGGTAATGCACGGTATGATCGGGGTGCGTGGACCAGTTGGCTTGACCAACAAACGCCTGCATTCGTCACGTATCATCGCCTCGGCCTTCTCCTCCGGATGACCGAAGACAAAGCAATCCTGGACGCGTTCCGTGTCGGCCCCAGTGTTCCTAATCGAGGACAAACCTGCTGCCCGCATATCGGCATTCCTATCTATAAAGTGTCCAATGTTTGCCATATTCGTATGTGTGTCCCTTTTCTGGTGTGTTCCCCGCGAGACTTTCAATTTCTGTGTAAACCCAAACTGATTATTCGACTTGACGTTGGCATACTTTGATTCTGGGTTTAAATAAATAAATAATGCGTTTAATCGGCAGCACATACGGAAGGCATGGCATCTATGGAAGATAAACTTAGCACTAGTTAAACTTTAGCTACGTCCTCAGCTGAACCTTAAGTCTCTATTGTACATGGGGAGGGGGCGGGGAAGGGTCCACCTATTGCACGAGCAGTCTGCAGTCTGCAGCCAAAGGTAATGCTTCAGTTCAGCGCATAATTCTTCTGCAGGATAAAGTCCCAGGTGTCCTTCCAGCGCAGACGTCTAACCTCCTCAATGGTCATCTTTCTCGCTCCGTAGCTGAGCGGCAAGAATTTGGCAAACACACTGCCGACGGCGAGCAGCCAGAGGAGCAGCGCCAGGCGATAGACGCGCACCAGGTGCACCCCGCGACCCGAGCAGTGTCGGCGCAACAGATAGTCCAGATGCTCCACGACAAAGCACAGCAGCAGCAGCTTGAAGACAAACGCGGGCAGATAGTTGTGCAGGAAGAGGGTACGGTCCACAAAGAAGTACGGCAGATAGTGCATCAGATAGCCCACGAAGAAGGTGTCGCCAGCCATGAGGAAGCGCTGCCACTCGTGCTGGGATACATCGAAGCAGAGTCGCCTCCTACGCACCGCATAGAAGGCCAGTAGAGCGGCGTATACCAGTATCCCGGCGCTGGCCGTGTACCAAATGAGCACGTTGCCCAGGAGATAAATCTGGGCACTGGACTGCGAGTCCAGCCAGTAGGCGATGCCCTTGTCCATGAGGGGCCACTCGTGCGGCAGCGAGCTGTACATGTGCGCCTGCAGTTGCTTGCCGTGCCAGAACATCTTCGCCTGCAGCTCCAGGAGTTTGGCCCAGAACGAGAGCGTTGTGCGCTTCGTGGGTATCATCTCGGCGGAGAGCAGCTGCCGCTCCCGTTCCCGCTGATCCTGAGCTGTTGCAGCAACAAGGAAGGCAAAGTGAGTTAGAGTGAGTCAATCAATAAGTCAATAAATCATTCACTTACTCCTGGTGTAGCGATGCTCCTCCACATTCCAAATGGCATCTTCGTGCACCTGATCCCGATCGGCTACCACCTCGTGCTGGTTGAAGCCCCAGTCCGGCAGCTGGCGGCCGCTGAACTTCAGGGCAGCGCCCGTCGACTCGTGGACGAGACGAATCTCAGATTTTATGGCGTGCCAGCTGTCGCCCTCTGAGTTCCTATTGAGGATCTCCACGCGCCACAGCAGCTCGCCGGCCATCTTGATCTCGTAGTCAATGTAGCAGCTGACCTCCTGGCACTGGGGCGTCATCGGAGCAGCGACGTCGTGCGAGTTCAACGCCCGGCTGGTGATTCCGTGCACCAGCTGGATGACGTCGCCGTGCTGTATGACGTCTGGCTCATCCCCCACCACCAGGTCGTCCCGCTCAGGCCGTTTCACAATCCACCAGTTGTTCACGTCTTTAAATGAGTAGCATGTGACCTGCTGCTGGTGGGAGGAGCCTCTCTTGTCCTTGTACCGCACCGGGTAGACTGCCGCGTGGGAGTGCAGCCAGCAGGTGCGTCCGTGAGTGTGCCGCAGCGTTATCTGCGAGCCGTGGACCACAGCCAGGGGCTGGCCACTGGTGATCGAGGCCAGGCCGCCCTCCAGCGACGCCTGAAAGGCGCTGGTCATAATGCTATCATGAGGACCTGCCCGGTGCAGCGCCCGGAAGTGGACATAGAATACTCCTATATACACGGCCATGGGAATGCCCACGAAGAGCATCAGTCGACTCAGGGCGTGCATCCAGAGCTGGCGATCTGTCGGGAGGGAAATATATTGATTATTATCGAAATCAGATCAAATCTGGAGAGGATTACTCACTCGTTAGACTGGCGTCGTACAGCAGTTGCCACAGGTGGCGACAGAGCAGGTACCCGGCCAGAGCCAGGGCCAGGAAGCCTATATACTTGACGGAGCCCGCACAGGCCAGGAGCACACCGGCCGCCGATCCACTGCACAGCCACTGGAGGCTGCCCAGGCGACAGCGCTGGAAGCGGAGCAGGCAGGCGATCCCGAGCGTGCTGGCCAGCAGCAGCATCGATTCCATGAGCACGAACCGCGACTGGGTCAGCAGGGAGTTGTCCAGAACGACGAGAAGACCGCCCAGAGCGGCTGCCCAACGCTGGAGCCTAGCCTCCAGCAGTAGCCTGTAGACGGCGGGGGCCAGCAGGCTGCCGCACAATGCGGGTATGAAGCGGAGCCAGAAGATGGGCACGTCCGGCGCGTACGCGGCCCCAATCCTCGAGAATGTGTAGTTGCCATCGTATCCGGCCAGGCTGACGAGGCCAGCGATCAGCTGTTTGCCGAGGGGCGGGTGCTGATCGAAGAAGAAAATGTTGCGCATGTAATGGGCAATGTACTTTCCGTAGTGCAGCTCATCGAATCTGTGGGAGGGAAGAGACAGAGTTGAGCAACGTCGCATGCATATGTATGTATGTGCATCTCCATTTTATACTCACACAATGTGGGGTGGCGTTGCCAGCTTGTAGAAGCGCGTGCAGAACGCCAGCAGAAAGAGAGTCCAACTGAAGAGATCGATGCTCAGGTTAACGGTAAACTGCGGTGTGGCTGTAGATGCAGCTGCTGCTGCTGCTGCAGCGCTGTGTTTATGGCAATCTACAAGGCGGCCGTCGCAAGAGCACGAACGGGAGCGGGACCGAGAACATGATCGAGACCGTTCGGAGGTAGTAGGCGAAGGTGAAGCTTGTTTTGGCGTTGGCGTCGGTGTCGGTGTCGCTGTTAGCGATGATTGTCGGCTCTCGGAACCCCGACTGCGCGACGACTCCACGCTGCCACGCAAAGGTGCATTCAGGTGGCAGTTGACGTCGCGGCAGCAGTTGAGTATGGACAAACCACCGTTACAGCACAGTGGGGAAGGTGAGTTGATGGCTGAGGTTGTTGAACGGCTGCGCGGCAGCAGCGGCGTCGACAGCGGCGTGTCTTTGCTGCTTCCGCGAAAGTGAAGTCTTTCGTTTTGTGCGCCGTTTGTTTGATTTTTTTCGATTACGTTTTCGCTGGTGCATTGTTGCTGCTGCTGCTGCTTTGATCTGGAGCGTGTCGTGGTCTTGCGGCGCTGCTGCATTATGTTGCCACTGCCACCGTTGTTGTTGCTGTACATGGCTGGTATTCCTAATATTCCGTGGCGTGAGAGAACGAATCGCGCACCGTTCTGCGCTTTGCGTACGAACTGTCTGTCACTTTCACTTTTTACACGTACAATTATCGCAGCCGATTACCACACGTGAGATAATCCACGTTAATTGTGTTTTGTTTGTTCATACATATCTCCCTCTGCCGCTGCTGCTGCTCAGCTGCTGAGCCACTGCCACGTTTGCCAGCTAAAACCGGTTTGCCGCCGCTTTCGCACTTTCTTCGGCCACTTGTTGTTGTTTTGGTTTTTGTCTGGTCCCTTTTCTCTCATTTACATATTTTTTGTTTGGGCAGAGGGCGGCACGCGGGGCCTGCAGCGGATGAAAGTTCACTATAAAATATTCCCACACGCACACACTCGCGCGACCAAAAATGCTTTGGCTCTGTCTTTTGCTCTCCTGCTAAAAATTTCCAACCTGCCCGCTGAAGATCTAGACGCGGACTGACAATGAGAAGGCCCCACGACCGCAGCTGGGGCTCGGGCTCCACTCTTTTGCTCTTCGACTGCGCAGCGAGCGCTGGAATGCGGTCCGATCTCCGTTCGGCTGCTGTGTCTGCGGCGGTGATTCTTAGCCCATTTCTTGTTTTGCCAGCCAGCCAGCAGCCAAGCCAGGCCAAGCCAACAAATGCATGCCAAAAGATCTCTCTCGCTGCTCTCTCTCTCTCCCTTGACGCGCGCGCTCTCTGTGTCTGGTCTGTGTGCGGCGAATGTCGCCGAGCAGGAACTGCAAAGTAAAAAAAAAAACAATGCTAAGCTGATATAACGACTACGCGCTACCCTTTAAACGAATTTGTCAGTGGGATACATTAAAACAGTGCGTGAAAATGCGAGTGAAAAGTGATATAAATTACTCGTACACACAATTGTACTAATATTTAGTTGATTGCAATCATTTTCATCGGATCGGTGAAAAATATTATTGTATATGTAACAAACTTATGCACGTACACAATATACCCTAAACAATACGCGTCTATCAGGGTACAAAAACACTTTATTTGTACTGTTAAGCGGCGCAGGTATTGAACAGGTCTGAGAACCGTACGAAGCACGCGACCCAAGTGCGGAGACGTGTTTTGTTGACTTCTTTGGCGTTTAGGATTATACGTGTACACACACACACACAGACATGCTAAGAGTTAAGGAGTTCTTTGCATTGTGACCCAATGACCTCATTCATGGAGATCCATATCGTATGTACCTTATGGAGATGCTGTGGCCTTTTTGGGGCAGTCGTTGTTTTTATTTATTTTCTCTGACGAATGACATCAGATGCCATCATTCGGAATTAGGTAAACGGTTTTAAGCCGGTTCTCCGTTCCATGCCAAAACCATTATTACATACCCGTTGAAGCGCGCATTCCATCCCGCAATATTAATATTTCTCTTCATTGTGCAGCCGTTGGGAGCTTGTAAGCTATATAATACATTTATAGAACACCAGAGAAAGACTTGCTGTAATAGTTACATAGCTGCACAGCTTGAGTAGCTACACAAAGAGCCTGCTAGGTGGGAGTTTCTACTTCCGCCATCGTCTATAGAGTCTAGAGTGTTAGAAATAGCAGGTATAAGAAACAAACTCAAGCCCAAAGTGGTATTATTTGCTGTCCCCCTTGTCTCTTTCCACACAAGCGTGTGCCATGATTAAAGTAGCAACTCCCTGAATATTTTCTGTATTTACTCTGCAATCATTTAACTAGCAATTTCTATAGCTTATACGTAGCTGTTGTGTATCATTATGACGCCTTGACGGTGAGCTATTTGTACTTCGCCAGTGCGTGTACTTAGACAATGTTGACAGCTCAAACATCAGCCGGATCTAGGCCTATCCACGGCACGCAACGTGAGAACTTTGTGGGTGGCAGAATCTGAGCCACATGTCCAAATACAAATATTTTTAAAAGTGGGCCAGACACAAAAATAATTCGCACTCAGCAATTGTTTAAACATTCAAGAACTGTTTATATTTCTAACGCACTTTTTAATTAAACGGGTAAAACTCCCTCCGAGATTCCAATAAAAAGGCGGCTGATCCCATACAGAACTATCACTTTCTGATAAGCGACAGCAACAGCAACAGAAACCATGAAATACTCTTGCGTTCTCCTGCTCCTGGCGACTATCGGCTGCGTCCTGGTGGGCCAGACCAGTGCAGTGACTGCCACTTCCACAACTACCTCTGCCACAGCTACGACCGTAGCGGCCACGACTACCACGTCAGCAGCGGCCACGACTACCACGTCAGCAGCTGCCACGACAACCACAGCCGCCACCACCACCACAGCCGCCACCACCACAGCAGGGACGACCACAGCAGCCACATCTGGCACCGCTACCACCACGAAGGCAGGAACTTCCAAGCCCAAGAAGACAAAGGTGCACCGCAAGCGGAAGGTCAAGCGCGGCAAGAAGAAGATCACCCGCAAGCACAAGAAGGCATCCAAGAGCAAGAGTGGATAAAGGACAGCTGGATAGCAAGCGACCAACGGAATACTAATGAAACGGAAATCCCAAGACATGTCTTCAATCTATTTAACTATCAATTTTCCAATTCTTTCTCCATTTAAAATGAATTCATATTAAATCTGCCACAAATATTATATTATTAACTTGGCTCCATTATCCTGTATCCTTTCAAAACAGTTAAAAGTGGCATCCTCCGTTATTTTATCCATCTGGCAGCTCTGTGAAAAAGCTAACAGTACAGGAGCTTTCGCGGAGATAGGTATGGAAACGTAGGAGAGAAAAGGATACATGAATACGATGGAGAGCAGAGGCCAAAGCTTGGGGCTGGAGCTGGAGTTGAATGATGGAGAGGGGTGTCTGTCTCTACTTGCAGCTTCGAGTGCAACCCACGCGGCCGAGAGATGGTGAGATGGTGTCGGGTGTCGAGGGTTGAGAGGTGAGAGGTGAGAGGACATGCCTGCCACATGGCATCCTTGCACCCAACAATTGCAGCAGAGAACAGCGATGGGGCAGGGATTTTGCTGGCGACGGATTGGTTGCCAGGCTTGGCGGTGTGACTGTGAGTGCCGCAACGACTCCTGCCCCAGACCCCAGCCGCAGAGATTCAGCCCCTGTGTCGGCCTCGCGGCCTGCACAAGTGCAAGGATATTGTCGCCACCGCCTGCTCCTGCTCCCGCTCCGGCTCCGGCTCCTGTTGCTGTTCCTGCTGGTGTTTCTGGCTCTGATGGTGTTGCTGCTTCTCCTGCTCCTGTTCCTGCTCCTGCTCCTACTCCTGTTCCGGGGCTGTGCATCGTTGCAGCATCGTGGCTGTTTCTGTTGTGTCTCGTTTTTGCCACAGGGTGGTGGACTGGTGGATGGAAATGGAGGATGTGCTGCCGCCTACCGTGTGCCACTTTGGCCATGTTCGTGGCCGTGGCCGTGCCCTCGACTCGTGCGCTCGTTTCCCTCCAGCCAAGGCCAAGCCAGCCAAAGGACGACGACGTCGCCAGCGATAATGTGGCACAATGACATTGACATTGAACTAGGTCGAGGACGTATTCCATTTAGCCACCGTTTGGTTAATGCCTGCCTCCGTCTTCGTCTCGCTACGAGAAGCGAGAACACCACCCACCACCACCCCACCCACTCAACCACGGACCCCAATCGGGCCTCTGGCTTGTGGCTCCGTGGAGCCGGTGGTTGTGGCCCACCATTTCGTATCAGCGACTGATTAAACATATGCACATTGTTGGCTTATCTTCGGGATAAATAGCGGGTATACTGAGGAGCGATATGTTGGGGTATATTTGTGGCAAATTGAATAATTAATGAGAGAAAAAGGAACAAGAATTGAGGGGCCAGGAAGACAAATGAATGCTCCATGAATGTACAGTAAGATAATGAAAATACTAGTGCTTCCCTTTTTGGGCTCGGAAACACATGTAGAGATATTTGAGAGGGATTTATCAAGCATTTGGAAAGCCTTTGAAATCGATAGTTGTAGAAACCGAAACCCTAAGAATATAACAATGAGAAAAAGTAACAAGCTGAAGGGGTTCAGGTTGGGTCTCGTCTCTGAATTAAGTATAAATCAGCTAAAATATCAAAATGCAGACTGCAGACTCTGGACATAATTGTAGTTTTCTTAATGGTATTACATACATACATATGTATGTAATATGCACATTTGTGTATGTATAAACTATCTTCCTACAGGTCGCCATTTTATAGTGGAGCGATTAAGTATACGCATCAGCTGCACTAGAGCTGCATATGCTTGCATTTTTATGTGCAAATTGATGCGTTTAAAGCCTTTTCTTGCCCCATCTTCTGACACTGCCACTGTCACAGCCACAGCCCATCTTTATTTCTGGCCACTCGTCCTGACCGGACAGATTCATCTGCTGTTGCGGCTGCCGTCTGCTGTCTGCATCGAGATGATTTTGTTGGTGGACTGGGTGTCTATTATGGATGTGTCTGCGCTATGTCTAAGTTCTTGTTTTTGTGGCTCGACGGGCGTACGGAGGCGGGGTCCAGTTTTATTTATTTTAATTTAAATGAAATTTATTTTATACACATCCACACACACACCGATGCGGATCGGATGTTTTTTTGAGCTGTTAGTCAGAAGCTAAGGGTTGTATTTCGCAGTGTGTGTGTGTATATGGATACATGGATTATGCACTCACACCCACACACACTCAGGCATGCAGCACACATGCACGTACACACACACATACATATAGAAAATATATATAGAAAATGCAACTAAAATGTTTCACATGCATTTGTTTTTGCTGTTTTATGGCCTGTGTCTGGCCGGCAACAACTCTCCCCGCCCCCCCAGCCAACCCTCTATCATCATTCCATCAGTGCACTGCACCCCAACCCAACCCACCCCACCTGTCCCTCCCACCAACGCATTGCACTGCACTGTGGCAGACTGTGGGGCGACTGCTGCTGCTGCAGCTGCAGTTGGCCTGCAACAACATTTTGTTGTAGTTGTTGTCGCCTGCAGTCTGGCAAAATTTTTGCCATTTGATTGCATTTTGTTGGGCGGCCTTTTTGTGTAGAGTTTGTTGCACTTCAGCCTGGAGTTAGGTGTTGTTGCACACACACACACACACACACACTTCAGTGTGGCAAGCACACACGCACAGAGAGAGAGAGAGAGAGTCGAGTGCAGGCGGAAAAACCCAATGGACGGCAGTGCGAGGATGTTCGATAGGCCTTAGGATACTACAAAACTTCTACATACGCATTTGCCTAGACACATACGCACATACATACATACGTATATGTATGTGATATGTGTGTGCATTGGCATGTGTGAGTGTGGCTTTATGTAAGGGTTTTTTTAATATATAAATTTATTTACATATATTATTCAGCATATACATATGTATGTATGTACATATATAAATTGCAGGCTTTTTTAGTTTGATTTGCTTGCTGTCATGTGCTAAAAATAATAACAAAATGGCCGACGTCTCTCGGCCTGTGCGGTACAGTTGCGTGCAAAGTTGCGTTGTGTAGTTTCGTTGCCGATTGTGTAGCATACTTTCCTGCTGCACAAGTAACACACTTTTGCAGGACTCTTACTGCTCCTGGGAGCAGAGGGGTTTCCCCTGAGCAGGGACCCAACTAAACTCAAAAGTAGAGTTCGTTTCCCCCATGGGTACATCCATCCATGCATCCGACCATCCATCCACATCCATCTATGCATCCATCCAGGCAACACCGAACTTTGTGGGTGCTTTTTTCGCGTTCCACAGACAACCACACACACACACACACACAGAAGAGAGGAACGAACAAGAGGAACCCCCACCAGCCCCCCCCTACATAGCAGGAGGCATGCCTCCTCAGAAGCCTTCCCTCTCCGAAGGGGAACATCACTCGTCCGGACTGTGGCGACTGCCGAGTGGTTTGTTTAGAATTTTAGATTTTAGCGCGTTTTAGAATTTTATGAATGAATTTCGGCGCTCGGCAGAGCTCTCTGCCTGGAGCCAGGGATCTGGTAGATGGTGAGAGTGAAGCACAGGAGAGTCCACGCCCCTCTACTCCACTCCGGTTCGTTTGCCTCGGATTCACTTTTAGTTTTTGGTTAGTTTTCGGTTCCCCATTTGTTGGGGAAGGTGGTGCCGTTGCCGTTGCCGTTGCCGTACCTCGGCGTGACCTTGCCACTGCCACTGCTACAGCTAGTGCTAGTGCTGGTGCCACTGGCTGGTGTTCGTTGTTGTTTAGATTTAGTTACTATCGGGTTGCACTTCAGTTGGTCCATTTTTGTAGTTGGCACAAATCCGTATTGTACGTATGTGTACCGTGTACATGGGCAAGGCCCTTCGAGCAAGCACCATAGCCGGTTTCTAGTTTTCGTTTCGTTTCGTGTGCTTGTTTTTTTTTTGCCTTTACACAGGAATATCGATTTCTATGACAATTGAAGAGGATTTGTCGCTCTAACGAACTTAAAGGAAGCAAACGAAACTGCACTTTGACATTGAGAATGCATAAAACTAACATCTATTTCAGGGATTTAAATGGGTGTAGCAGAACATCGAGTTGGGTAGCACATTTCTCTCAAAAGCATTCAACTTTAACAAATTCACAAAAGTAGAAAAAGAAAACACAGGAACTTAGTATTTTTAAAGGCTTTGATTGGTCACATAATGGAGCACTTAGAAAGGATTTTTATAGCACCATCTGAGCAAAATTTATTGAAGTTAGCAAACGTTATATGCAGAAGCTATTGACGGGGGGGGGTTGCGTAACGTTAGAAATTGTTTCTTCCCAAGAACTCGCATAGTGTGATATATTTAGAAAATAATTACTTTCTCAGTAAATATGTACTGTAATTGCACTTGTGCCAATCGTACAAAATAAACTTAAAAGCAGTATGCAGCTGCATATTATTGTATTATTAAGTGTTTCTGGAAATGCCAGAGTAAATATTATGGAATATATTTTGTCCCCCATGCAGATGACAGCTTGGCGGCGAATCCCCCCACCAGCTGATCCCAACCATTTCTGTTCATGTTTGTGAGTATAAATCTGTGTGTATTAGAGTTAGTTTACCTTGTAAAATTTACGCAAAACTTTGAGGAAGCATAGTGCAAAATTTTCGAATTTCCTTCTCAGCAGATGGGGCCGCTGCAATGTGCAAATCCACTTTACATAGAGCATAGGCTGTACTTAAAAAATACAAATATACATACATAAATACATATGCACATACATATGTATGTGTAGATACACCGCATTTATATACTTTAATGATTTTCGTTAGTTTTGATGCATGGAAAAGTGCTTGTAAAAGTCCTATTGAAAAAAACTGTTGCATACCTGCCGGCGCGCGCTCAAATCAACTAACGGCACAAAGCAGAGGGGCTTGCAATCATAGAGAGAGTGGAAGAGAGAAAGAGAGAAACAGAGAGCAAGCGCCGGCTACAAAGAGCACAAGAGAGTCGTGCCAGCATCCTGCCGCCCCACGGGAGCCGAGGGTGGAGCCGAACCCTAAGCCGAAGGGAGCACTAAGCCAGCGAGAGGACAAACACAAAAGCGAAAGCGAGGAGTTCGCCGTCATAATGCGTGCATCCCTCTATTCGTAAGTGTGTGTGTGTGTTCATGAAGGTGCGGGTGGAGAGTGTTCATTGTGTGTGTGTGTTTGTGTTTGTGTTTGTAGGGGGATGCCGCTTTGTCGGCAATTTAAAGAGTAAATAATTGTCTGCCGCCGGCAAACGTTTGCCCAAACCGTTAGTCGACAGGAGCATCGGCTCCGTATCGGTATAGGTATCGGTATCGTATCGGATCGGCTTCGGCCCCATCCCTATCCCCCGCCCCGCCCCGACAGTCGCCATCCCCGTTGCCATCACAAAACTCTGCACAGTTTTAGGCGCCGGGGCCATCAACAGAGGCTGTGGCTGCGGCACTGGAGACCGGCTACGGCTCTGGCTTTGACTCTGGACAACACAGACGAACGCACTTTCAATCAGTTTACGTTTCAGCGTCAGCGGCGACACTACGTCATCGAGTCGAACAGTTCGCATCCGTCCGTCGCCCGCCCACCAACCATCCTGTGCGGCATCCAAGCTGCAGTTGTGTCTGTGTTTATTTTATCTGTGTTCTGTCTGCTGTCTGCCCGTCTTCTGTGCGTCGCGTTTTTACTTTCACGCGGGTAATACGTTCTCGCCGGTGGCAGGAACAGGAATCACCGAATTCCCCGCAAAAACAAACGTGTCCAAAACGTGCTACAACTGGCCGAAACGTGTCTTTGTCAAATTATCCTTGCCATGGAGGCCTGACATCTGAACGAGGTGGAGTGGAGTGGTGCAGAGCAATCGAGTCCTGTGAGTATGTAGCTCTTTAAGTTTGTGGAAATAAAATTTCCGTACAGGGAGAACCAACAATAAAATAAACTGCAAAGTTTAAGTGATAACAAAGCATTAGGCAAGCGATTCGCCATGAGAATTGTCTCTGTGAATTGTTTAAGACAAATAAATTCATTGATTGTACACTAAAATTTTATAAATTTAATTTAATTGGTCTGGTAATGGAAAAAGTTACGTTTTAATTGTTGGGCAGCTGGGAGAGTTCCAATTTGTTGGCTACCCTCAACTGATCCTTGTCACCTATCCAAAAATGAATACTCGTAATAATAATTTGAAATGTATAAATTTTTAATGGCCGCATAAAAAATCTATTTCTGGTCAGTGTTTTTCCTTTGGTAGAATTGCCAAGTTTCTCCCTTTCTCTGTGCCCCATCGTCAGCTATTAAATAGCTTCCCAAATATAATAATAGCCATGTGCGACTGTTTATTTAGCACGAGACAATAATTAGGTTGTAGTACTGGATGAAAATTATGAAACTATTCCTCATACTCAGAATTAGAAAAAATATTTTTTTGAAAAAATTAAATAACATAATTTTTACTCGGCATATACAGCACCGATAGCCAAACAATTAATGAGTTAAATAAGATAATTGTATAACCTTTCCTTGGTTTGTTTTTAGTTTTTGTTCTTACAACGGTTATAACGGAAGATATATTCAGCCAAAGCTGAAAAAGCAAAAGCTTTTATCTTTTTTAAGTTTCTACAACTTTGATATTTTGTTGAATGTTATTTTTGTTGTTTTAGACTTTAGTTCTTTACATTAGTTCCCAACAATAAAAGCTATTTATTATTAAAATTGTCCAATGAATGAAGGGGGAACAATTTCATAATTAAATAAACCCCAAAGTCCGGAATAATCTATAATTTGGAATGATTATAATACTTATAATAGTTAAAAATCCTTTATCCTTATCCTTTATCCTGTGTGAAACTTTAGAAGACCTCTATGGTGTCTGTGACCATGCAACAAACAAATACAACAAATACTCGTACGCGCAAACTTGTCTCACATTTTCAATGAGAGGGCCTTGCCCACAGCCGGCCACATGAAGGGCACACAATCAGGCAATAAATCAGCCTTTAATGTACTTGCATCGAAATGTGGATTTAGCCGACAACGTCATCGACATCCTGTGACCGCGTTTCCGAATTTATCCCGAAAACTTGTGTACGTGCGTGCGTCGGCCCCGAAATTTCGTTGCACAGACGGGTCATGGCCACGGCCACGGCCACGACCACGACCACGGCCACGGCCACGAATATGGCATTTTGGCGATGGATGCCGCCTCCGACTCTGCCGTGCGTCGCAGTTTCACTTTCACGGCGCACACACAGGCTCTGGCTCCGGCTCTGGCTCCGGCTCTGGCTCTCCTCTCCCGGGTAGGAGCCAAACGGCGAGCGCGACTTGCACTCAGCCTCACAGCTCGTCTTTGCCAAATCGACCCCAAAGGGGGAGGTCCAGGCCCACACACCACACAGCCAACTCGACCTGCCAATGACAATGACGTCGTTCTGCCACAGTGGCATGCATTTTGTTTGTTTGGAAAAATACATTCAAATCAAAGTACCCTAAAACATGGTCAAAGGAACAGAAGAAAGTAGTTGAGTAGTTGCTGCCTGGGAAAAGTATTGCAGCCAAAGGGATTTGCCCCAAAAATGCAGTTTTCGACCAGGGTGACTGCCACTTGTAACACATTCGAATGCGGCGGGTCCTGTGGGAATGGGAATCGGACGGTGTGAGATGGCTGGCGGGTTGACCAGCAGCATGCGGCGCGGGCGACTAGCTGCACGCTCGTTTCGACCACGACCACGACGACGACGACTACGACGATGATGCAATGTCTGGATGCCGGCAAGGTGGCGCCCACCCACAGCCCCATCCCCACATGCGCATGGGAGAGGCTGCACTGCACTGCCGCCTCTCCCGACACTCTCACTCGGCGACCAAGTGTGTGTGTGTGTGTGTGTGCTCGGTGTTTGGCCAGAGTGCAGTTACCTCTGCTTGGGCAGCCGCTGAGTGGGGGTGTCAGGGTGGCCAGCCTCCTGCAGTGGTAGGTAGGCCGTTGGCCGGGAGTATCGTCATCGCTGCGTCATCTCTCCATCGCAGTCATCCCATGCAACGCCGTGCCGGGCCGTGCCGTGCTGGAATTCGTGTGCGTGGCCTGGTTTCGTTGATTGGCCTTGGGTGCGGCTTTCAGTGTCAGTGTCAGGGGTGCAGCATCTTTGTTTTGGTTGCAGCCACCCCAGCTCCAGGCCGCAGATGTTCTGCTCGAGTTCTCCTGCGAATGCAAATCTGAGGGGCACACACACACACACACCCCCGCCCCCACTTGCACGAGTGAGTCATGTGAATGGAGGGCACACACATCGCATGGACTAATGGGGACGAGTGGTGGAGTCTTGCTTATGGTGTTACATGTGTGCAGCGAGGGAAATATTTGTGTGTGGAAGGGAAAGCACTTGAAATTTATTTCAATACCGAAAGTTTAAGCTCCAGGATAAAGAAATGGATGGACTGCCCCGCCGAGGGACCTATAAGGATACACACGGGTAATTCCGGGTTTCTCCCTTGGCTCTCAAACTGCCTACAAAGTGTCAATACTGTGCCGCCCGGCGTATTGATGAATGTTTGAACAATTGCTTTGTAGGCGGCACAATTGAGTGCGAATCGGTGTGTGTTTGCCTGGCCCACTTTTGGATATAGAGTTCTCACGATGCGTGCCATGGATAGGCTCAGATCCGACTGATGTTTGCCTTGTCAATAGCGGAAACATACGCACCGGTGCGGTATAAATAGCTCTACCTGATCCATGGATCAGTATCAGTTGATCCCAACCGACTTAGCGACTTATCAGCATGAAATACTCTTGCGTTCTCCTGCTCCTGGCGACCATCGGCTGCGTCCTGGTGGGCCAGACCAGTGCAGTGACTGCCACTTCCACAACTACCTCTGCCACAGCTACGACCGTAGCAGCGGCCACGACTACCACGTCAGCAGCAGCCACGACTACCACGTCAGCAGCTGCCACGACAACCACAGCCGCCACCACCACCACAGCCGCCACCACCACAGCAGGGACGACCACAGCAGCCACATCTGGCACCGCTACCACCACGAAGGCAGGAACTTCCAAGCCCAAGAAGACAAAGGTGCACCGCAAGCGGAAGGTCAAGCGCGGCAAGAAGAAGATCACCCGCAAGCACAAGAAGGCACCCAAGAGCAAGAGTGGATAAAGGACAGCTGGACAGCAAGCGACCAACGGAATCCCAACGATCTAAGACCCCAGTACCCCTATGAATTATTACTTAAGTACGAGTAATTTCTGTTAATTTTCTGTTAATTTCTGTTAATTTTCCTTAGCCTTAATGCAAATATAATGTAAAATCAAAAGTTAAAAGTGGAAATTCCCTCAGAAATGTGTTTGCAGCAAGGCCGAGCTGAGGGTATCGCTGTCCAGGTGACGGGTCGTGTGCTTGGGCAGACATGCTCCTCGCACTCGCCGATACCCCCGACGGCAAACGCATTTCGGGTCGTAGCAGAACTGCTCAGCCGGACAGAAGCTGCCTGCAGTGCACTGGACGAGCATGCAGCTGACGACTTCGTCTTGCCCGCAGGAGACACCCACGACATCGTAGGGTGCATCTGGGGAGAGTAAGATAATGGATATGGGATTCACTTGGATCACTCTATAGTCACCGCACCCCTCTGAGCTGCTCCACGCCCTGCAACCGCGCCGGAGAGCCATGAAGCCAGAACTAGCCAGGGAAAACGCATGCTGTCACCAAGGGGAAGGGATGATCGCGTTGGTGGGAACTATTTAACGGCTACCGAAACGTGCCGTAACTGATCTTATCGATTACTTTTGTTGAGGCCTCAAAAGAGGGAATGATAATTACGGGAATATGCAGAAGATTACCGAACTCACTCTCCACAATGCACTGGCACTGCACACCACCCCCCACCACCACTTGACCAACGCTTCATCGAATTGTTTCCTTGCTTTAAAAAATCTCCATGTATGCACGTCGACGCAGGCTGAACAAATCGCAAATAAAACGGTTATTAGCAAGGTCTGTGGATATGAGGTGAGGCACCACTCTCACTGGTGTTTGTGTGTGCGCTGCCGTCGCGACACGTGCTCGTGCAGAGGGAGAGAGTGAGAGACAAGGTGCCTTACCTTAGTTCTTGCTATGAAAGAGCGCTAGTTGTTTTTTTTTCGTCTCTCTGGCGCTATTCTCGCTGTCTGTTCGTTCTCGTTTCTGTCACTCACTCACTCACCCACCCCACTCACGCCTCTCTCTCTCTCTCACACAGATTCATCAGCAGAGTTAGACAAACTAACACAATCATATGGCAATTGCCGAAGGTTCTGTCTCGTGCTTTGCACGAGGAGCGGATTTGTGGGATGGCCCTGGGGGCCGGGCCAGGCAGGACAATTTGAAGCGAACAAACGGCATGGCATGGCATGGCATGGCTGGGCATGATGTCGGGTCGGGTTGGGTCATCAGTAGTGAACTTGCGCCACACGCCGATAGGTGGCCAGTCGTGGATGCGGCAGCCAGAGACGGAGTGGGTGTCCATGTCCGTGAATGGTGCATGTGCATGTGTGCGCCACCCAGACGGCCAGCAGTAGGTACGAGGTACGGTACGAATAGTGGTAGCCAGCCGCCGGCTCCTCCAATACATATTTTTTGTCGCGCCTCCCCGCTCTCGCCAACCCTGCCGCAGAAACTGAATCATGGACTCCCTTGAGGGGCGTGTGCCTGTGGGCGGGCGGTGGGTGATATGCTGCGAAAACAAAAAAACATTGCACTGCCATAACGGAGCACTGCAGTTTGGCCATGCAGCCAGACAGCCGATCGGCTGCAGTCGACGTCTGCATCAACTGCGGCTGAGACTGTGGCTGCAGCTGCAACTGCTGCTGCGGCTTTTCCTTTGTCCGTGTGTCGGTGGACGGACGCCTCTCCTTTATTGTGTCACGGGTTCGTTCGCGCGCGTCCGCCATCTCGGAGATGGAAATCGGGAAAAATGCCGCGTTCCCAAGTGAAAGTACTCTGTGGGGCTGCTGTAAACACAAATAACTTACCGGACAAAATTTAAATATGACTCCGGCGGCGAGCTCCTGCCCGAAGTGGAGTCGGTATGTGTGTGTTTGTGTGCCGTTACTCAATTAAACACGGCAATAATTTGCGTACTTGGAGAAAATCGATATGGAGGAACCCCATTCATTGACTGCTCCCCGGACTCACCTCACAAGTCGGCCTCACACATTTCCCTACTATGGGATTCCTCACAAACAATTCCTAATCTGTGCTGTGTCTTTGAGCACGATTCCCGAATTCGTTAAACATTTACCAATCACGGGTCAGCCCTAACCTAATCTTCATGTAGCGACACACTAACTCGTCATGGCTGTGCCTCCGCCTTAGCCCTCTGCACTGCCCCATGCCTCCACCAACTATCATCCTACCCCAATCCCACTCTTCCCAAACCATTGTTGGGGCTCCGCTCATTTTTCTCTTTCTGATGTAGCGCGCAGGATTGGCGCTCTTTTTTTTTTTGTCGTAACGCTTCTCACGGTCTTGGTCCTGCCGCATGGTTAGACGTTTGTGTGGCGCACTACTGTATGGCAGTGGGGGTGGGGGTGTGTGTGTGGCACCACTGCACCGCTGTTTTCACTTTTCATATGAAATCTAAGCTTAAATTGTACTCCTGTTTCCCGTATCGTATCTCCCTCCAGACTCCACCAAATGTTCCTGTGAAATTGCTCCTGCTAAAGATCTTAAAATTTAATAAATAATAGCGGTTTAATTTTTTTAATATTTAATATTATTAATATTTAATGTTCAAGTATTATATTCTCCTAATATCTGTTGAGATCAATTATTCATAAATATTAATTTATCTATCTAGTAGAACTATGCATTTTTGTTTCTTGTTGCTTTAAAGACATTTAGAAAGGAAGACCTATGCTGGGCTCCTTGATGATACAGTCTCAAGTTTTGCTAAAATATTTTTAGTTCAGGAAAGTTAGGAGAATTTCATTGCCATACAAATGGAGATCAATTTATGAGAATGCCTCTATGCAACATCTAATTGACTTGATAATTAATAAAGCCGGGGGATTATTGCTTATCCCAAAAATTGGTAGGCTGTGAGGGAAAAATCTTATAAAGCAGTCAAGGCTTTTCAGCTTAGATCATTCGTAGACATAGGTCAGCTCCAGGCACATTTGTACACTGTTTTCATTGTTCATAAAGTATAAAGTACAAATTGATTCACATGCAAGCGATCGCGTATAAATATATTTCTATATTGTAAATCTGCAGCCATCGCAAACGACTCAATGTGGTACAGAACTAACTACATAACATATGTACAATATATTACACCTAAATCATACCCATGTACAGCTCTTACCGCATTCCGAATTCTTTATCAACGGATTTCCCATTTCAGTTGCCCCGTTTTCAAAGACAAACACATCCAATTTCGAGCGAGTTTCCTGAGCGATCAGCAGAGAGCTGAGCAACAAGTGCAAAATGAATTTCACACCCTTCGGGAACAATTTCCCCGGCAATTTACCTGGACTGCCCCAGTTCACAACCAGCACGGCGCCCCTCGTCTCTTCACTAACCGCCGCCGTGGCTGATGTGACGGTGACGGCAACCAATAACCCGCAGCAGCAGCAGCAGCAACAGCAGGATGCCGGAGGCGGGAGCACACGCTACCAGCAGCAACAGGCCGCCACCACGGTGGGCATGACGCACTTCAGCCAGCCGACCATGTCGGCGGGGCAAAGCGGTGGCAGCAGTAAGTTCCGCAGCGGGCAGGAGGAGGGTATGCAGGGCGACAAGTACAATGGCCACCTGGTATCCACAGCGCAGCAGCAGCAGCAGCAACAGCCGCAGTACGCCACAGTCGCATATGCCAGTGCGACGGCAACGAGCGGCGCCGCCGACGCCCTCCAGGCGGGCACCTCCAGCCAGGCACAGCAGCAGCAACAACAGCAGCAGCAGATGCAGCAGCAACAGGTTGCGGCGCCGCAGGAACTCACCCAGGATCTGTGCAACGCCATCCTGCAGCAGCAAGGTGAGTCCCTCAGCCAATCTCAGCCCCTTCTTTTAGTCAATCCAATGCTCATCCTCATCTGCCATTTTAGTGCTCCAGAACACCTCCTGGCAGACGCTCACGCCGGGCACCACTGTCGCCGACTATCTCTCTCATCTTCCGGCCAACACGCTGCCCCTGTCGCTGCACCACTTCCTCAAGTACTCGGCGGAGACGATCAAGAAGGAGAACCAGCAGAACGTGGTGAGTGCCCATGAGCTGTGGCGTGGCTGGGCCATATCCACTACTAATCGATGGCATGGCTCTTCCGCAGGTGCTGCAGGTTCAAACGGGACCAGCCATAGGGATCAACACCATTGGCACCACAACTATCAGCATACCTCAGCAGGATCAGTTGACGCTGCAGCAGCAGCAGACGACGCTACAGGTGCAGGCACAGGCACAAGCGCAGACGCAGGCGGCTGTGGCATCCACGTCTGCGGCGACAGGCGTCGCCACCAGCAGCAGCACCAAGAAAAAGAAGCGCAAAAAGCGAAGCAAGGACCGCAAGCCGAAGCTGCGTCCGGGCGAGATCCGTCTGGGAACGGCACTGGACGGCAGCCCGCTGTACATGTGCCCCGAGTGTCATGTGGCCTATCCGGAGCCGGAGCTCCTCGAGGTGCACCTGGTGGGCCACAACCTGGAGAAGCGGTACGTGTGCGATGTGTGCCAGGCGTCGCTGAAGCGCAAGGACCACCTCACCCGGCACAAGCAGTCGCACAATCCGGAGCGGCCCTACATCTGCACCGTCTGTCTGAAAGCCTTCAAGCGCAAAGAGCAACTGAGTCTGCACTTTGTGATCCACTCGGGCGAGAAACGGCACCAGTGCCAGGAGTGCGGGAAGGGCTTCTACCGCAAGGATCATCTGCGCAAGCACACCCGCTCCCACATTGCCCGTCGTGTGAAGGCCGAGCTGAACAGCCACGTGCGGCGAGAGAACGGCACCAGCATGCTCCAGCCGGTGGTGACGGAGGCGACCACCGCGGCGCTGCAGCACGCGAATCAGCTGGCCAGCCAGCAGCAGCAGTTGCAACAGCAGCAGCAACAGCAGCAACAACAGCAGCAGCAGCAGCAACACCACATCGTGATCACCCAGCAGCAGCAGCAGCAGCAACAGCAGCAGGCGCCGCAGGTGCAGCAGCAACAGCAGCAGATGCTAAATTAGCCAAATGATTTTTGTAAAGTCAGTTAAGCAAAATTCGATTCCGCCACACAGCCAGCCGCCACCAGTCGCCACAAACGGCTGGCGGCCGGCCCAAAACGCAACTCTCTCGGTCCACACAATTTAATTGACTCCGCAAATCGGATTGAACACACTGGAGAATATCGTTGACGATATCAGCAGGTTCGCTAGCAAATATCTCGGGAGCTTCCACATGGAAACTCCCAATGTTGTACAATTTTAATGGTAAGCCACCCCCCACCAGCCGGACCAGACCTCGACGACAGTTGGGACCGTCTCCGAATCTACTACACACACGCACAAATCGCGACTACATTCTATTACCAAAATTAACTGCTTTGCTTAAGCCCTACCTAATACAATCCTCAAGAAATTAGGACTAAATTCTATTAGGCACTCCAATCCAATGCTCGTAATGCTTTCAAAATGGTTTACCTTCCCATAATCCGATCCTTTCTTCCCACAATCTGTTCTTAAGCCTAAAGAAGGTCCATTCCAAAGTATTTACACTATCTCTTTACTATTCAAAATCGAAAATCATCGAAAGATGGAGAGATCCGATCCCTATCTAGCATCTAGGAGTGGTGTCCCAGGTCCCAGGCCTTTGTATGCTCCCAAATAACATTCCATAGAATACTTTAAGAGAACTGTGCAAAGGAATAATAGTTTTGTAAGCGATGTATTTTAGTGAAATGTATTTTTGTACAAATTGAATCCGTATCGGTGTACGGTATGGTATGTGGCATCTGCATGCCGCCTGTGCGATTACGTGAACACATGAGATGTCAAATGCAGGCGCACTACATGCGTATATGTATATTTCTATAACCGTGTATATGTACATAATGTAAACGATTGCAATTTAGATTTACACTTGCATCTAGGTACGAATCAGATATTGTGAATTGAATGTATGTATGTTTACCTTTTGCTACACCGATAAAAGAACCACAAAAAAACAAGTGTAAAAATGCAGTAAACAATATAATTTGATCTTCAACTTAGCGGAATATGTTCATTCAATACTTTGGTCTATGGGTTGTGTTTTTCCTTTTTGACCGTGGCAGATTTTCATTGAGTAATCTGAACTTTAGAGCTGCATCAGGGGAATATCGTAGATCCACAATAAGAGGAAAGGTACCAGCGGACCTTTTGCTAATTGTTTAGATAAAATTTCAACACCTCTTTTTCTTTATGACAAGAGACTAGCTTCGATAAAGTTTGGATTTGATCAACGATTGGCTCAAGGGGCCATACATTCCCTTATAGCTATGTATTTCGCGAACCTCAAATTAGTTTCAATTGTCTTTCATGGTTGGTCTGTCTGTCCGTTGATATCTTCCAACATTATCCTCATTCGAATTAAACCAGCGATGTCGTCTCAGCCTACGAGTAGAGAGGGAATCCAGCATAAATAGTTGTAGCCCCTCTGACATCTCTAAACAGTTGTTAAAATTGCACTTTCTAGGGTTATTAGCTTTATTTAGAGTACTCATCATTTATGATTATTATGCACCATTTATTATATTCAATTAAGTAATTAAACACTAGCATTATGTGTATTCTGTATGTCTGTAGGTTTTCGTATGTTTTCAATGCCTTTATTTTGTTTACGCACTGCGAGCAGCTTCGATACACCACTGTTCGCGCGTGCGTACGAAACTAAACTTAAGTTTAAAACTATGATAGATGTGTATGTATGAAGTTACAAGTTACGCATTAATTATATGAAGGGAAATGGAGCACACATTCGTGACAGAAAATCGGACAGGGTAGAGGGGTCTCGAAGCTTATCAAAATTTGTGCATCTGTACAAATCCATCTGCAGATTCGATGATGAATGGTTTTGTTTGTGGATTTACTTCATAACAAAATATATGCTTAATATACAGATACATATATCATGTAGTATAGTGTATGCGTTGAAAATTGGGGCATGCCCCGATTTCCTCTACGATAAATTCATGGGTGGCCGCCTATTCATCAATGTTTCAGAATTGTAGATATTTACTGCGTTTGGTTTTTGGTAGGTTTTTGTGTTTCGTTTTCGTTGCGAAAAGAACTCTTAAATCACTGTACAAAGAACGACGCGTTGCGGCTACCATCTCCTATGGCCCGCAGAGATACTTCCGCTTCTGGTCTTCCATGTAGTCGCTTGTCGACATTTGAATGGCCCGCTGAAGCATCTCGCGCTCGTTGCGCCCTGCCACAGCAAGAGGGATTTGATTATGACTCTTTAAAATTGACTGTCTGGAACTCACCATCATTGGCAAGCGAAGCCTCGAGTAATTCCTGATAAATATTCGACGACGGAGCATCCCCCCGCTTCTGCGGCGAGTGCGACGATTGCTTTGATGTACAGGGCTGCTGATCAGCCTCTGGGGTGATGGCACGAGCTGCAGAAGGGACAGCATCACGCTTGGGACTTTTGCGTAGCGGAGCCTCAATAGCCTCGGTACTGCAGATAGATATTATTACACACAAACACACGCACAACGATTGGCAATGCAGTATACACACCTTTTGCCAGCCAACGATCCCTCACGAGTTTCGTGGCGGCGCTTCTTGCGCAGCGTAGTGCGGCGCTGTGACTTGGAGGCTTTGCTTGACCGCTGGGCGGCTGCAGTGCTGGGGGAGGCGTTGCCACCGCAGTGCCCCACCGAGCTGGTGCTGCTCATGTCTGTGGCGTCGCTTTCGTAGCCGCCCAGATCGCCGACTTCTGGCGGAAGCTTGTGTCCGAACTGTGTGAGCGTTTTGGGTGACATCGAAAACATTGTGGATGGGCCAGCAACACTGCTAACGCTGGCCAGAGTTGCAGCCGCGATACCGCCGCTGCTGCTGGTGCCACCACACGAGTACTTGGAGGGCGAGGCGTCCGAGTCGGTGAGAGCTTCAGCCGAGGTAACTGTCGAGGATGTGGCCGAGCCGCCGGCTGTATTGCTACTGCGCGAGCGTTGCATGTTGTCGCGGCACCACTGCAGGTAGGACTCGCGTGCAATCTGCTCCTCGATGGCCTCATTGGTGGCCTCCCAATCTGTGGTCTTCAGCTTGTCCTCGAACATCGTCTACGATTGGGACGTTGTCACTTAATATAGCTTCATGGGTTGATGGCTGCACAACTCACCTGCTCGATCTCCAGCTGCTCGCTGAGACGCAAAGCCTCTTTGGTTTGAACCTGAGGCTTGTAGCCAGCCAAGCCCAGGCCAACGCCGACGGTGGCGTTGTAGGGATCCAAAATGGCATTGTAGTGAGAGCCACGCTGATACGATAGGCGGAGCGGGGGGTAGCCAGCCTGCGATTGCTCAGAGTTGAAGATATTGATTGGGGCTGAAATATGAAGAATATTTTAGCAAAGGGGAACTCCTCAGTAGCAGCTTTTGTTTCCCACGATTTGGAGAAATGAACAACTTACTAGCCTGATAGCAGTAGACCTCGACTGTGCGACTATAGATCTCCGATATGGCCTGAATTTCAATGTGATTGCCGTGAGCATCGCGAGCCCGCTTTCGCTGGATGTAGCTGCTGATGTCCTCAGTGACAAACTGCCCAAAGTACTCACGGTTCTCGTGCTGCAACAGGGAACAGAGTTACGTTAGACATCAGCTTATCCAGCGGAGTGCTGCCAACATTACAATATAATCCATGGTATGCTGGCGAATCACATCGTGCATTCCCTCATCGCCGTAGATTTGAAGCGAGATGGACCGAAAGAGGCAGGCTCCGTCCTCCTCGACGGGCTTCAGTTCATAGCCGTTCTCTTCCATGCACTTGGCGAACTCCACATCGCGACGCTGCCACTCCTCCGCCGGTATCTTGCGCTCCTTTGGCTGCAGATGCTCGTCGCCGCTGTTGTAACCGGAAAATGTATCCTCCGCAATCTTGGTTAGATTGGCCACCGCAGTGGTTGGCGGTATCTGTCCCAGTGTCGTTGGTACATTGGCACATCCCAAGCCCAGATGTTCAGGGGACTTGCGACCCACCGCAGATGGGCTGCTGCTGCTGCCAGACGCTGTGGCCAGGGGAGGACTGGTGCATTTGCTGCCAGCCACTCCAGGCACGCTGCCCGGCACCACGGCCGGATGGATGAGTTTCTCACGCTCCAAGCGGTCGCGCTTGTGATGATGCGCATGACTGTCGTGGTGGTCGCGACGCTTCGAGCGCGTGCTGCTTTAAAAACAAGAAAAAAATTCAATAAATTAAACAATCTGTCAAAAATTGATGTATAAAGAGTACAACGGCTGCAATTGGTACCATTGCGAATTAAAAACTGATGCACAATTACTGTGCTAACGTGAAAGGTCCTGTGGCTGACCCTTTGGTTTCTTTTAAGTAACCTAAAAGGATATCTGCACGGCCTGTAAGCCAATTCGAAACCCAGCTCTTGATTTTCCATGGTGTATGCTGGCACTCCTGTATAACGCCCCAGAAATCATATTGAAGGCAGGGGTGTAGCACCTTCATGTGTATGTCTGGGAGCACATATCGCTTCACATGTGCACATTTACATGCAGGTGACACCCAGCCAAGGAATGTGGGCCAAAAACGATCACTCACCTCTTGTGGGGGCTGCAGCGGTGAGTGCGTGCCAGCTCGTCGTAGACCTCGCCGCGCCTCTGAGGACTCTGCGCGATGCAAATACACAAAAATTAGCGTAAATCGAGTGGTGCAGAGTTGGGGGTAGGCGCTTTCTTGGTAAGCCAAAGACACACTTACCTGGCCGTGGCCATCGATGACGACATTGCGGTGCGTTTGATTAACCACTGACTGCTCGACCACGACCTGTCCGGTTGCATGCGCCTCCTTGTTGTCCGCGTCCACGACGTTGCCAGCCACGCGCTTCGCGCTGGGAGCGCTTACTGGCTTGATCGTCATGCTTCTGATGCAGCTTCCCCTTCCTCTTGCTCTATTTTCGCCTTTGTTCCTGGTGCGGCAAAGTAATTATGCAGCAAATGCGAGAATCGCAACACAAGTGCTCGACTTGAGGCTTCTCTAGCGCATAAATGACGATGCGACGTGTAGCTGGAGCCCTCGAGCAGTCCCTCAGTTGTTGTTAGTTTTAGTGGGCCTTTCGTTTTGTATGTGCGTATGTCACGGCTGCACTGCGTTCTTTGTCCGAAGATGTCGTCGTAGGAAAATAAGGCCGCCAGGGCTCTCTCTCTCTCTGAAGTCTGCTTATGTTTGCATAGATCCAAACGCTTTTACCAGTTGCTTGTGCTTCCTTTTATATGTCTGAAAAGCATTTCAAAGGCCACATAACATAACTATTTCATCTACAAAGTAATGAAATTTTCCAGATTTTCATATTCCCCTTCTGTGTGTGCGTGATTTCGCGTGTGTGTGCGTGTGTGTCTGTGAGTTGTGGGCCAACCTCACCCTTTGTTTTGTCGTATCTGGACAGCTCTGTAACAATTCAAGGCGTATCTTACCGTTTCCAAGTTGTTTTTTTGTGTTAATTTTACAAATTGTTCAACTGTTCTCGTTGTGTTTCATGGAATTTACATCTTATCAGCGTGACCGTGACGATAACGATCAAAAATACCATCCGTCCTAAAAATAAATACCATTAAATACCATTTCAGCTTCGAGAAATACCATTTAAATACCATAAAGTTAAAAGAAAGAAAAACATATACAATAATTAAGTTAGATTTTATTATTATTATCATTATCTATCTGACAGAATTTGTATTTATTTTATAATTGTTGTACAAACGATTATTTTATATTTTATTTTATTATATTTTATTTTGCTTTAAACCAGCACAAGTTATCAATTAGTTTAAATTAATATAAATACATACATATGTATACTGTATGCAGCAGAAGATCGCTGATTTTTTTAATTTCTCGTTTTTTCTTGTTTCTCTTTGTATTTCGTTGCTCTCTCATTTTCAGCCTCCACTTTCCACCGCTCAAATGGCAGAAAACCGTTAAATTCAAATCTGAGATACCAGGTGCGCAGAAATCAGCAGAAGGTCGCTGCTATTTTTAATTCTCGTTTTTTCTTGTTTCTCTTTGTATTTCGTTGCTCTCTCTCTCTTTTCGCTCTAACTTTTCTCATTTTCTGCCTCCACTTTCCACCATTCAAATGGCAGAAAACCGTTAATTTCAAATCTGAGATACCAGGCGCACAGAAATCAGCAGAAGGTCGCTGCTACCTTTAAATTCTCGTTTTTTCTTGTTTCTCTTTGTATTTCGTTGCTCTCTCTTTTCGCTCTAATTTTTCTCATTTTCTGCCTCCACTTTCCACCGTTCAAATGGCAGAAAACCGTTAAATTCAAATCTGAGATACTAGGCGCACAGAAATCAGCAGAAGGTCGCTGCTATTTTTAAATTCTCGTTTTTTCTTGTTTTTCTTTGTATTTCGTTGCTCTCTCTTTTCGCTCTAATTTTTCTCATTTTCTGCCTCCTTTTTCCACCATTCAAATGGCAGAAAACCGTTAAATTCAAATCTGAGATACCAGGCGCACAGAAATCAGCAGAAGGTCGCTGCTATTTTTAAATTCTCGTTTTTTCTTGTTTCTCTTTGTATTTCGTTGCTCTCTCTTTTCGCTCTAATTTTTCTCATTTCCTGCCTCCACTTTCCACCGTTCAAATGGCAGAAAACCGTTAAATTCAAATCTCAGATACTAGGCGCACAGAAATCAGCAGAAGGTCGCTGCTATTTTTAAATTCTCGTTTTTTCTTGTTTCTCTTTGTATTTCGTTGCTCTCTCTTTTCGCTCTAATTTTTCTCATTTTCTGCCTCCTTTTTCCACCATTCAAATGGCAGAAAACCGTTAAATTCAAATCTGAGATACCAGGCGCACAGAAATCAGCAGAAGGTCGCTGCTATTTTTAAATTCTCGTTTTTTCTTGTTTCTCTTTGTATTTCGTTGCTCTCTCTTTTCGCTCTAATTTTTCTCATTTTCTGCCTCCACTTTCCACCGTTCAAATGGCAGAAAACCGTTAAATTCAAATCTGAGATACTAGGCGCACAGAAATCAGCAGAAGGTCGCTGCTATTTTTAAATTCTCGTTTTTCTTGTTTTTCTTTGTATTTCGTTGCTCTCTCTTTTCGCTCTAATTTTTCTCATTTTCTGCCTCCTTTTTCCACCATTCAAATGGCAGAAAACCGTTAAATTCAAATCCAGGCGCACAGAAATCAGCAGAAGGTCGCTGCTATTTTTAAATTCTTTTTTCTCGTTTCTCTTTGTATTTCGTTGCTCTCTCTTTTCGCTCTAATTTTTCTCATTTTCTGCCTCCACTTTCCACAGCTCAAATGGCAGAAAACCGTTAAATTCAAATCTGAGATACCAGGCGCACAGAAATCAGCAGAAGGTCGCTGCTATTTTTAAATTCTCGTTTTTTCTTGTTTCTCTTTGTATTTCGTTGCTCTCTCTTTTCGCTCTAGTTTTTCTCATTTTCTGCCTCCACTTTCCACAGCTCAAATGGCAGAAAACCGTTAAATTCAAATCTGAGATACCAGGCGCACAGAAATCAGCAGAAGGTCGCTGCTATTTTTAAATTCTCGTTTTTTCTTGTTTCTTTTTGTATTTCGTTGATCTCTCTTTTCGCTCTAATTTTTCTCATTTTCTGCCTCCACTTTCCACCGTTCAAATGGCAGAAAACCGTTAAATTCAAATCTGAGATAATAGGCGCACAGAAATCAGCAGAAGGTCGCTGCTATTTTTAAATTCTCGTTTTTTCTTGTTTCTCTTTGTATTTCGTTGCTCTCTCTTTTCGCTCTAATTTTTCTCATTTTCTGCCTCCACTTTCCACAGCTCAAATGGCAGAAAACCGTTAAATTCAAATCTGAGATACCAGGCGCACAGAAATCAGCAGAAGGTCGCTGCTATTTTTAAATTCTCGTTTTTTCTTGTTTCTCTTTGTATTTCGTTGCTCTCTCTTTTCGCTCTAATTTTTCTCATTTTCTGCCACCACTTTCCACCGTTCAAATGGCAGAAAACCGTTAAATTCAAATCTGAGATGCAGGCGCACAGAAATCAGCAGAAGGTCGCTGCTATTTTTAAATTCTCGTTTTTTCTTGTTTCTCTTTGTATTTCGTTGCTCTCTCTTTTCGCTCTAATTTTTCTCATTTTCTGCCTCCACTTTCCACCGTTCAAATGGCAGAAAACCGTTAAATTCAAATCTGAGATACTAGGCGCACAGAAATCAGCAGAAGGTCGCTGCTATTTTTAAATTCTCGTTTTTCTTGTTTCTCTTTGTATTTCGTTGCTCTCTCTTTTCGCTCTAATTTTTCTCATTTTCTGCCTCCACTTTCCACCGTTCAAATGGCAGAAAACCGTTAAATTCAAATCTGAGATACCAGGCGCACAGAAATCAGCAGAAGGTCGCTGCTATTTTTAAATTCTCGTTTTTTCTTGTTTCTCTTTGTATTTCGTTGCTCTCTCTTTTCGCTCTAATTTTTCTCATTTTCTGCCTCCACTTCCACAGCTCAAATGGCAGAAAACCGTTAAATTCAAATCTGAGATCCAGGCGCACAGAAATCAGCAGAAGGTCGCTGCTATTTTTAAATTCTCGTTTTTTCTTGTTTCTCTTTGTATTTCGTTGCTCTCTCTTTTCGCTCTAATTTTTCTCATTTTCTGCCTCCACTTCCACCGTTCAAATGGCAGAAAACCGTTAAATTCAAATCTGAGATACTAGGCGCACAGAAATCAGCAGAAGGTCGCTGCTATTTTTAAATTCTCTTTTTTTCTTGTTTCTCTTTGTATTTCGTTGCTCTCTCTTTTCGCTCTAATTTTTCTCATTTTCTGCCTCCACTTTCCACCGTTCAAATGGCAGAAAACCGTTAAATTCAAATCTGAGATACCAGGCGCACAGAAATCAGCAGAAGGTCGCTGCTATTTTTAAATTCTCGTTTTTTCTTGTTTCTCTTTGTATTTCGTTGCTCTCTCTTTTCGCTCTAATTTTTCTCATTTTCTGCCTCCACTTTCCACAGCTCAAATGGCAGAAAACCGTTAAATTCAAATCTGAGATACCAGGCGCACAGAAATCAGCAGAAGGTCGCTGCTATTTTTAAATTCTCGTTTTTTCTTGTTTCTCTTTGTATTTCGTTGCTCTCTCTTTTCGCTCTAATTTTTCTCATTTTCTGCCTCCACTTTCCACCGTTCAAATGGCAGAAAACCGTTAAATTCAAATCTGAGATACCAGGCGCACAGAAATCAGCAGAAGGTCGCTGCTATTTTTAAATTCTCTTTTTTTCTTGTTTCTCTTTGTATTTCGTTGCTCTCTCTTTTCGCTTTAATTTTTCTCATTTTCTGCCTCCACTTTCCACCATTCAAAAGGCAGAAAACCGTTAAATTCAAATCTGAGATACTAGGCGCACAGAAATCAGCAGAAGGTCGCTGCTATTTTTAAATTCTCGTTTTTTCTCGTTTCTTGTTGTATTTCGTTGCTCTCTCTCTTTTCGCTCTAATTTTTCTCATTTTCTGCCTCCACTTTCCACAGCTCAAATGGCAGAAAACCGTTAAATTCAAATCTGAGATACTAGGCGCACAGAAATCAGCAGAAGGTCGAAGACAAAACGAGAATTTATAAATAGCAGCGACCTTCTGCTCATTTTTGTGCGCCTGGTATCTCAGATTTGAATTTAACGGTTTTCTGCCATTTGAGCGGTGGAAAGTGGAGGCAGAAAATGAGAAAAATTAGAGCGAAAAAGAGAGAGCAACGAAATACAAAGAGAAACAAGAAAAAACGAGAATTTAAAAATAGCAGCGACCTTTTGCTGATTTCTGTGCGCCTAGTATCTCAGATTTGAATTTAACGGTTTTCTGCCATTGAACGGTGGAAAGTGGAGGCAGAAAATGAGAAAAATTAGAGCGAAAACAGAGAGCAACGAAATACAAAGAGAAACAAGAAAAAACGAGAATTTAAAAATAGCAGCGACCTTCTGCTGATTTCTGTGCGCCTAGTATCTCAGATTTGAATTTAACGGTTTTCTGCCATTTGAACGGTGGAAAGTGGAGGCAGAAAATGAGAAAAATTAGAGCGAAAAGAGAGAGCAACGAAATACAAAGAGAAACAAGAAAAAACGAGAATTTAAAAATAGCAGCGACCTTCTGCTGATTTCTGTGCGCCTGGTATCTCAGATTTGAATTTAACGGTTTTCTGCCATTTGAACGGTGGAAAGTGGAGGCAGAAAATGAGAAAAATTAGAGCGAAAAGAGAGAGCAACGAAATACAAAAAGAAACAAGAAAAAACGAGAATTTAAAAATATCAGCGACCTTCTGATGATTTCTGTGCGCCTGGTATCTCAGATTTGAATTTAACGGTTTTCTGCCATTTGAATGGTGGAAAGTGGAGGCAGAAAATGAGAAAAATTAGAGCGAATAGAGAGAGAGCAACGAAATACAAAGAGAAACAAGAAAAAACGAGAATTTAAAAATAGCAGCGACCTTCTGCTGATTTCTGTGCGCCTGGTATCTCAGATTTGAATTTAACGGTTTTCTGCCATTTGAGCTGTGGAAAAAGGAGGAAGAAAATGAGAAAAATTAGAGCGAAAAGAGAGAGCAACGAAATACAAAGAAAAGCAAGAA